AATATTTAAAAAGTTGTGTGTGTATATATATATATCTATGTACACACATTGTATATATATATATATATATACATTCTATGTTTATGCGCTACATGTTTCGTCGGCCACACAGAGCCATCTTCAGGGAATCCACTGCACTGTGCACTTTGTCAGTAGTACTCTTAAATATGTTATTATTTTTATTTTTAGTTTCGGTGTTATAGGATGTTTGTTCATCCTATGTTTTGTATTGCGGTCACTCTGTGCCCCATTGTGTGTGCCGCTCCCTTAGTCCTGCGTATCATGTGTCGATTTGTGTCCTTAACATTTCTTTTATTCATGCCCGTAGAGATGTGCCTACTCAGTTCAGGCATCAGCGCCTTCATTCATTATATGTTTGATTGTGGAGCTGTAGATACAAAGGCTGTATAAGTTGCTGTGGGGGTATTGTATTATATTGTGTGTGTGAACACCTTAATATTGTACAGAACTACGATAAGGTTTGTTTTGGACTCTATCCATCGCCTGGTATATACAAGACAGAAACCACAACGTTTCGGAGACTGGATCTGTCTCCGTCCTCAGGTGGATGGGACAAGATAGACCTACTCAGTTGGGCCCGTTAGAAAGAGCTAGTCTGAATCACGGATCTATTGGTTGAGACTAGCTCTTTCTAACGGGCCCAACTGAGTAGGTCTAGCTTGTCCCATCCACCTGAGGACGGAAACAGATCCAGTCTCCGAAACGTTGTGGTTTTTGTCTTATATATACCAGGCGATGGATAGAGTCCAAAATAAACCTTATAGTTCTGTACAGCGTACACCATTGTCAGAATCCTTTAAAGTCTACCTTAATGTTGGTTCCGCGGCTACAGTTCGTGTATAAATCTTGTATACCACTCGTATTTTACAACACGTTTAGGTTCGTTATGGCCATCATCAGGTAAAATATTTATACTCACTGTCTACTTTGCTGCTGCTTTCCCCTCCATTGGTCAATGTTTACAGTAGAAGCTCAACAGAGCTACTCAACCAGAGACAACACCTTATAAAGAAGACCAACCTGCAAGAGAAAACAGAAACAGAACACGCACAACAACGCTCACATGTCAAATGGAACACGTAAGTAAAAAAAACATTGCAAGATCACGCAAAAGAACACCACTTATACTGTGACAAACATATTACTAACATCATCTACAACCAAAAACAATATTTTAATATTTTAACATATAATTTTATAAGTTGGCATTTAAGCGAAGACACTTCTACAGTGGTCTACAAGCAAACACTATTTAATAGCACCAAAATAAATGAAACATTTTAAAAATTTAATGGTTTAATATGTAAATGCTTTGCATGTAGTTCCATACGTTGGCAATAACATTGGAGAGTAACACGTATGACCTAGACCAGTTCCAAAACATAGGGCAGTGTATGGGAAGTATTTTACTTGACGATGGCCATAAAGAGTTGAAACCTGTTATCAACAAATAACATTTATATTTTATTTTCTGCTTATAGCTTTATGTTGTTAGATTCTCTTATTTATTTGTGTGTGTACGATGTACGCCAGTTAACTAAATAAGTAAAATTTTTGTCCTATAACTTGCACCCTGTGAGTTGGTCATGTTGGCCCACGTCACTAGAGAAGTTAGCAGTTTGAAGTCAAACCATCGTTGGGATTCAGTTTATGTTGTGGTTGAAGTATATGTGTTACCGGAGCAATGGTTTTATTGCTTATATAAAATGAGGTGGCGACGGTAGGCCGATGTTCATGGCATTGCTTCTAAACGCTGTGTCAGTTCAGGTCTTATTTTGTAATATTTTAAGAGTGGGTTAGGTTTGTTGTATGGACGTCACAAGCAATATACAATATAAAAATGTCTAACGCTTTGTGCCTAGATATCATTTTTACATTTCAGTTTGTACTATAAAACCTGATGATCGTTCGAAATTTGTATTTATAAATGATAATAATAAATAATTATTACTAGGACTGTGATATTTTCATCTGGGTTTTAAATTTTGACGAAATGCGCAAATAAGACACCTACAAAAAATCAGCTTCTGCTTCTCTGACATAGTGAAAACAAATATTAATGTAGAGCAACGTTTACTGGTTGGTTGACCAGAGATTCGGGGTTCTGGGAAGAAGCAGGTTTTAGTCTTCTTCACAACGTCCGTCGGGTTTGGGGCCCACTCAGCCTCCTATCCAGTGAGTACCAGAACATGTTCCGCGAGAGTAACGCAGCCGAGGCGTGAAGCTGACCACTGACCTCCATCTAGTTCTGAGATTAAAGGAGCGTGGAGTCATACCTACTCTCCCCCCATACATATCTATGATGTGTTCTTCAGTTTAAGCACAGGAACAAGTTTTCCTTCATCTTTTATAGGTCTACACAAAATCACATAATTAGAAAAGTTTATTTAGTGAATTTTATTGAATTTAATCTTAGCATAACTAGACAGCAATTTATTTCTGTGTTTTCTTTTGCAGTTAAACCTCTGAGTGCATCAATACTGAGCAGCAACCAGCCTCTGTCGGCGGACCGGAAGTACAATATCGAATGTCAGTCTGTAGGATCACGTCCTGCTGCCAAAATTACGTGGTGGATGGATACAAAGGCACTGGACACTTACGTGGAAAAGGTAGGAATGCGGTTAATTAACAGATCTCATGCTGACCTAGAAATAAGAAGAAAACGCATTGTAGCTATCTTAGTGATTATAATAGTAAGGGTGAAGGTATCCCTGTAACAGGCCATGTAGGCTCATAGGGTTGTGAGACATCGAGGCTCCACCATATTCTATACATTCGGCTCATAGATGGCGCTGAGGTTGTCAGCCTTACGTGCCGGCCGCCATTTACCCCCAAGAACATTCCAAGAATATTCCTGGTACTCATTTCTGTTAAAGACTGAATCGATCCCAGGGTCATAATGCGGCTGGAAGGGTTAGGTCAATTGAAAAATCACCTAATTGGGATTCGATCCCGCGACCTTCCGGCTTGTAGCATAGTGCCTCAACCAACGCTACAACGTGGGCCAGTGATTATAACGAGTGTACTAGAATTTTGGGACTTTGATTTGGACTCAGTATAGTTCGTGGCATTAGTTTGATTAGGTCTGTTGTAGTTTATTAAATGTCTCATTTGATTTTACATATACATTATTACGACTAATTCTGTCAGTTATTATTAGTATGAATGAATTAAAATTAAAAAAAAAAACATTCTGTTAGCCTCATAAGTGTCTCTGTTACGGTCTTCTCTGAGCTGACTTGGTGCAGTTTGGTAGATTTTTTGTATTGCTAGTGGGGTGGGACTAAGTCCCTTGCACTGCGGCCACTTCTGGCCTATTGTACCCAACCCCAGATGATAGGTTAGGGTGATTATGGAGCAATTGGTGGAATGAAGATTGGCAGGGGAAACCTAAGTACTCGGAGAAAACCTGCCTCAGCGCCACTTTGTCCACCACAAATCCCACTTGACCAGACGCGGGATCGAACCAGGGCCGCCGCGGTGGGATGCCAGCAATTAACCGCTTGAGCTATGGCGCGACCCAGTTTGGTAGATATGCCTACCCTTCCACCCTCGCATCAGAATCAGTTTTACTGTTACCCTATCAGCTTCGGTTTCACTGAATTTAATCTTGCCTAAAGAATTACGCAGTTTCAGATATTCTTTACCTTAATAACACAAATCGTGAAGGCTTGATAAGACTCCCAGCTCATGTTCGCAAGTAGGGAGCACCCATGCACAGACTGAAAACCATGAGAGACTAGAGTAACTGGAAGACCGAAGAGTCTCCCTCTGTTAGCTCTAAAAACCGGAACAAAAAATATTCGTCGATATATATCGATTAGTGTCCTGGTGGACGGTTAATGTATCTTTATAACATCAGTAATTGTTCAGAAGTTTTTTGGATGCAGAAATTATCATTTAAACTAGATGAATAGTAATTGCGGAATCTGCAGAAGTTTTGCTTCATTTGGAGTGTCAATTAAGATAATAAAAATTGTATGTATGCTGAGCGCGAGGTCATGTTGCCATCACTGGTCGCTTTTCACAATAGGAACTTTCATGCCGGAAAAATTACAAGCTATCGCCATTTCATCGCGTAGTTCATTTATGTAACTGCAAGCTCTGCTCTCAGACGAGGAGCAGGACACTATATTCAGCATCTGCTAAATAACGTTAATTTGTTTAATTCAGCGCTCTTAATTAACTTCATTCTGAATCATAATAATATATAAATAAAACAGGAAGTTCTGGGAGAAAATAACCACTTACTTTCCTTTGATGCTACGCAGACCACATAGAAATCGACTCCTCCAACAATTCTTTATTGTATCGGGATATACAGAAAGACTCGCAGACGCTTCCTTGATAATGCACGGACCGCAGAGAAAAGGACACGTCCAACAACAATTACACTGTTGCGTGTGTATTTGTTGCCGCGGGAACGTATATACTTAGCCTTTGTCTAACAATGTTGAGGGGATACACATACAGACACAGACCTATGGGAGGAATTTATGAAGTACGCCGTTAAGATGGACTCAGTTGCCAGGATATACATACAAAGTTTCATAAAGATTGATTCAGGATTTCCAAAGTTGATGGGTGCGGGATTCACGAACACACAAGCTGGAAATCGCATAAGCTTATTTTAGGAAAATAATAACAATTTATGTACCACCGTTTTGAAAAAAAATAATTCCTTCTTTTCTGTACTGCATTAATTAGAAATTTTTTACATGAAATTTAGGTTCTCCGAAAAATTAGATGTAAGTTTAACTCAATTTAATTAATTTTATTGAGTTATTTTGTATTAAATTAATTTAAAGACAAAGTAAGTAAGGTAAAGGTAAGGTAAATTTATCCCTGTGCTTAGCTAATTAAGCACTACACCATGAAGGCGTATGGGGGAGTGGCTATATAGAGCCACATTTTCTTGACCTCGGCACTAGCTGGAGGTGAGTGGTGAGCTACACACCCCAGACGCTTTACCACCCGGGAAAGATCCCCCGGTACCCAATCTGTAGGAGGATGGGTGGGCCCCGGACGATGTGGAGAAGAAAAAATTCTTGACCCTAATGGGGCTCGAACTCCTGCCCTTCAGTCATCCAGCCCGTAGCCAGTCGCTATACCGATTGAGCTGTCCCAGCTTTTAAAGACAAAGTAAATAGTTTGATTCAATATAAAGAAGTGTAAATAATCACAAAGGAATGTAAAAAAATGTAGAAACTCGCCATTAATTACAATCCTAAGACAAATTGATCCATTCCACATTCCCCCACTAGCATTTCTTTAACATTTACATGGTACATATGTGTACTTGTATATGTATGATCTCTCACGATGTATATTATTACTATTATTTACTGCAATTGGGTGTTGACCCGGTGGCAGTAGAACTTGCACTGATACAGACAAGTAGAGTCTATAACATAAGAGAACAATACAAAACAGTATACTACAATACAAAACAAAACACAAAACACTGTATTGATTTAAAATGCACAGTAGACCAACTACTTACGTTATGTTTAGGAGAGAACATTCATGATTTCTCTAATGCCCGGAATTACTTTAGCTATAAACAGCACAGTGCAAAGCTCTGTGCTGGCTGTTCGAGAGAAGAAGCTGGTGTTTTTTACTCGTAATTGTAGCGGAGCTTACTTGCGCTTACTGTATTGTTAATATTTCAGATGTTCCAAAGTGACGTTCCGTGAATTAAACATTCAAAATAAGGAGATAGTTTATGCCTTAACCATTGTTTCCATAGAGGGATTAACAAACTAGCCTCTTATATAATATTTCGAGACTTACAGGATCTCAAAATTTAAAAGGAAGGGTGACTAATAATTGAATGACACAATGAAGAGCGGCGAACAGTAGAATATCGGATAGATGAACAAATAATGATGTAGTATGGGCATGTTCGACGAATGAACTCCAATTACCACCCCAGGCACTGGTATGGGGTCCATTAGGGCACTGGACAAGGACCGCGACTAATGAAAATGCGATGTTTGTCTGTGGAAGAAGCAGAAAATCATAAATAATGGAAACGTTGTACCAGAAACCCTTAAAGGGAAACAACATCGAAGAAGAAGAAGAAGAAGAACAGGAAGAAAAGTGTGAGAAAAAATACTTTTACACTAAGTAGGACTCCAAACTTAAATCCAGAATGCTCCCCGCCCAAGCTCGTTCATGCCTTTAATGGCGTGGGTACAACGATCGATAAACTTTAAGGTACAGAACAAACAAAAAAACTGCGTGGTTTGAATCCGCAAGCGAACTATGCCGACCGAGCGACCGCTGCTTGTCGGCGAAGTTAGTACCAACACTTTGCAGATAGAGGATGTCGTGTGGTCAGCGCAACGAATCCCCACGTCAGTTAATTTCGGTTTTCTAGACCGGAACCGCTATTTCCTTGAAATAACTCCTCAATTATCCTCACGAGGCTGAGTAGACCATGTTCCAGACCCACAACTTCTCATAAAATCTCGTGACGCCGGGAATTGAACCCGGGACATCTGGATCTGTAGCCAGGAACTTTGAACATTAGACCACAGAGGCGGCCCTTAAGGTACAGAAAGTATGTTTATTCTCCACTGTATTTGCCTATTCAAATCCTAACAGTAAACAACAATAATCATCATATAGGAACGTCTGTACATTCGTTTCGTTTTACGTTTATTTAGGTCTGTACTGATGACAACGCACGCAAATTAGTCGCACACAGTTTTAATGCAGTTTGAATTATACGTATGGTGCGTTATGACCCTCATATCTACATAATATGCAAGCCTCTTATACTGTATAGTTGTTCGGGTGAGAATATCTGCAGTGCAGAAGCGCATTTCCCTTAGTTATTCTGCTTCCATAATAAGATGCGCATGTAGACTGTCCCTGGTTGGCAGTTCTGCTGTTTGCCTCCACTCAGCTCCTTGCGGTTATATGTGTACATAGGGACCAGTAAAATTCCGGTTACCTACGTACATAGGTACTCACTTCCTTATAAAAATTGAGACTAATGTGACGTGTACCTTCGATTTGTATTGGTAAGTCACCTATTTCGAATTTCGGACGGGGTACAGACCAGCTCCAACTGTGGGGTTCCTTCAGTCTCTGCAGGTGAATGTGGGATTGTAACTCAGATTAGCTCACGACCGCTTCCTTCCAAGTCCTTTCCAATATATTACTCACTGCAGTCTATTCATTTAATGCTATAGTGTCTTGAGTTACTGACTTATTCATGGAGCTGAGCCCTTCTTGAGGAGAAGCCAATTCTGCAGCTACTCAAGAACTTCCCAACATTTTATGGAACCCGAAGGTTCATTACCGTGTTCACAAGGGCCCTCAACTGTTCCCTATCTTGAGCCAGATCAATCCAATCCATACGATCCCATGACAGCATCGTTAAGTAAATTGAAAACGAATAAATACAATCCACTTTATGAACATACATGGCTGTCCTTTGCTTGTGCTTCTGGCTCTTCTTATATTTGTGGCTGTACTGCATATATCCTGTCCTCTTATAATCCAGCCGCAAGTTACCTCCACTGCCACTCGTAATTTCCATGTCCTCTCACCTCATGCTTATACATGCGACTGCATGTGTAGTCTGTATGCATTTCTG